CCCTCAACCGATAAGTCACTGACTTGTCATTCTATCTTCTTCTGATTCTGAACTGGGTGACAAAGACAAAACCCAGTTCTTCAGTTTCAACTTGTAAAATCTCTGATTCTTCAAAAGCTCAGCCATCATTGCGCCACCGGCGTTGATGACGTCGCTACCTGTCCGAGCGCCTTCGTGGGTTTCTTCCCGGAGAATCTTCGAGGAGAAGCTTCAGGATCTTCCCAAGTGCGCCAATTTAAGGCAGGTGAAGCAGCTTCACGCGCAGATAATAAGGCGAAACCTTTACGAAGATCCACACATCGCGCCAAAGCTAATCTCCGCTCTTTCTCTCTGCCGCCAAACCAATTTAGCTGTTAGGGTTTTCAATCAGGTTCGACAACCCAATGTCCATCTCTGCAATTCTCTCATTAGAGCTCATGCTCAGAACTCGCAACCCTATCAGGCTTTCTCCGTTTTCTTCGAGATGCAGAGTTTTGGCCTTATCGCAGATAACTTCACCTACCCTTTTCTTCTCAAAGCTTGTTCTGGTCAATCGTGGTTGCCTTTGGTGAAAATGATGCATAGTCACATTGAAAAGTTAGGGCTTTTGTCTGATATATATGTTCCCAATGCCCTCATCGATTGCTATTCTAGATGTGGTGGTTTGGGTGTTGAAGCGGCGATGAATCTGTTCATGAAGATGGGAGAGAGGGATACTGTGTCTTGGAATTCGATGCTTGGTGGGTTTGTGAAAGCTGGGGAATTGAGAGATGCTCGCCAACTGTTTGATGAAATGCCTCAAAAGGATTTGATTAGCTGGAACACAATGTTGGATGGATACGCCAGGTGCAGAGACATGAGTAGAGCCTTTGATCTGTTCGAGCAAATGCCTGAGAGAAACACTGTATCTTGGTCAACAATGGTTATGGGTTATAGCAAAGCCGGAGACATGGAAATGGCTAGAATTCTCTTTAATAAGATGCCGGCTAAAAACGTGGTCACATGGACCATACTTATTGCTGGATATGCGGAAAAGGGCCTTATGAAGGAGGCTGATAAATTAGTCGACCAAATGGTGAATGCCGGTTTGAGATTTGATGCCGCGGCTGCTATTAGTATCTTGGCTGCTTGTGCCGAGTCTGGTTTGCTCAGTCTAGGAGTGAAGGTTCACTCCAAAATTAAAGGGTCTAACCTCAGTTCTAATTCTCATGTGTTAAATGCACTACTTGATATGTATGCAAAATGCGGTAGTCTAAAAAACGCGTTTGATGTGTTTAACAACATGCCCAAGAAGGACCTCGTCTCCTGGAACACTATGCTTCAGGCTCTTGGCGTTCATGGCCACGGAAAGGAAGCACTTGAGCTTTTTTCGAGAATGAGAAGGGAAGGGATTTGGCCTGATAAAGTTACGTTCATCGCTGTTTTATGTTCCTGCAATCACGCGGGTCTCATTGATGAAGGCAGAGATTACTTCTACTCAATGGAGAAGGTGTATGAACTTGTTCCACAAGTTGAACACTATGGTTGTCTTGTTGACCTATTAGGTCGAGGGGGGCGGATAAAGGAAGCGATTAAGGTTGTACGAACAATGCCTATGGAACCCAATGTTGTTATTTGGGGTGCTCTTCTTGGAGCGTGCAGGATGCATAACGAGGTGGATATTGCTAAGGAAGTCCTGGATCATCTGGTTAGATTAGACCCTTCTGATCCAGGAAACTATTCGCTGCTGTCAAATATTTACGCAGCAGCAGAAGATTGGGAAGGTGTTGCTAGCATAAGGTCAAAGATGAAGAGTATGGGAGTAGAGAAACCATCTGGAGCTAGTTCGATTGAATTGGAGGATGGGATACACGAATTCACAGTGTTTGACAAATCACACCCAAAATCTGATCAAATATACCAGATACTTGGTAATCTAATCGAACCTCCAGATACCGGTGAGCTGGTTGCCGTTGGATAATCTGGTTAGAATTTTTCGGTAAAATGTCTTCCTCAACAGTTTTTAGTATGCATTCACAAGTTTCTCAGTTTCTGGAGAGAGAAACGATATTTATGATACAATCCACCTTGAAACAAGTAGAGCCAGATTGTAAATTCCTAAGCCATGGTGTATAAAATAAGACCAATTGCAACAGTGTTAATCTGTACCATATCTTCAAATCCCAAAGTATTCAAATTCAATTCCTTTAAAAAATCAAAATAATATCTCT